TCCTCCGCCCCGCCCCGCAAGGAGTGGGCACCGCGAGCGAGCCGCTGGGGGCCTCCAGACCCGGCCCAGGACAGGGGTGCCTGGCGGTCATGGGATGGTCCGTGCGTGATCCTGACGCCGTCCTTGCCGGCACAAGGATGCGTATGTCGTGTGTGAATGGGACGTGCCACCCTGGGTTTTTTCCTGGCTACTTCCTGTCTTGGCCGGTTCCCCACCCTGGGGGGTCCCTCGGAGCCTCTCTGTCTTGTTTCCTGCTGCGCACCCTTTACAGCGGCCAACTCCATGCCTTCCACTGGCTCCTTGAGGGAGAGCATCACGGGCATCATGGTGTGACGGCCCAGCTGTTTGTGACAGAGTGCGGTTGTCCGTGGCTATGGTCACCGTGAAGTGTGCTCAGAATTTTGTGTTTGAAGGTTCTGTGTGCCTGTGTGTTTGGGCGGGCCCCTGGGGCCGTTAGAATCACTTGTGTAGTTTGGGTGACAAACACCTGTTCCCGTGGTTGTAATGGCTGAACTGTTGGTGATCACAGCCCATGGCTGTTGGTGTGGCTTTGGCCTGTGTCCCTGTGGAAGAGTGGTCCGGCCTAGGCAAGCTCTAGAAAGAGGTTGCAGGGCCGGAATTTAGCTCAGTGGTTCTGCTGTCTGCCTGGTAAGTGCAAGGTTCCCAGTTTGATCCCTGGTACCCCCCCCAAAGGAGAAAGAGGTCACAGAGTGAAGCGCCGAGGAGAGGAGCTGAGGATGCATACTCACCAGCATCACACACGCACAATGCGTAGTGGGAGCCAAGCTCATCCTGCAAGCTTTGAGGCCTTCTGTCCTCCCACCCCAGTGTGCGCACTATGACGCCCCCACTGGCTAAGCCATTTCCGCTTTGGTTGGCTGGCAGAGATCTAGTCAGTTTGTACAGCGTCTGTAGGGGATAGGGACGAGGTGTCCCCCACCCCCACCGTGCCCACCAGCTGCAGCCAGGAGACCCCTATGCTGGAAGCTGCCCCTTCTGCTTCCCTGGAAACCGTTGCCGGGGTCGGAGCCTCCTGGGCCCAGCCCCCTCCCAACTCGGAATACCTCTGCCCCAGCGCGGCTTCCCTGGACTGCGCTGCCAGCCTTGCCCTCTAAACCTCAGGGTTTCTGGGCTCCTGTCCTGTCCTTTGAAAACCCCTGAACACATGAGGCTGCTTGTGGCAGTGGGGGAGAGGAAAGCAGTAAGCCCTGTCATTCTGAGCTGAGCCTCCATGCTCTGGGGGGCTCTCACAGCAGGGACCCACAAGGGACAGTCCTTCTGTGCTGCCCAACAGGCTCTTTTGCCTGTCCAGGGCCCTCACTTGGAGGCCAAGGGTCCTGCTGGTCCCAAGTCCAGGTGTTTCCCTCACCCTACCCCCAGCACAAGCCTGCTGCCCCCTCTGTGTCTCCAGCCGTACTCTGCAGTCTCACAATGGCTTTTTCCACGTCCCCCGGGCCCTGGGGGCACCTGGAGGGCAGAAGCTGGCTGGGTTCATCCGCTGGGAGCCCCAGCCCCAGCCCCAGCTCAGCCAAGGGACGGGACAGCGTGTGCTCTGATGATGAATGAAGATTGTGGCTGGACTGGTTGTTGAGGGCCTGTGTGGAGTTAGAGCCCTGGGAGTCCCAAGCCTGACTCAGCCGGAAGGCTGCTGCTGGCCTGTCCCTTGGGTAGCATTGACCTGGACAGGGACTGTGTGGAGCTGTCCCCAGGCAGGGTCTGGGTGAGGAGATGGCCTGTTTTTTCTCTCTTTTCTAACCTTCCCTCTTCCTTTCCCACCTCCGTCCTCTCTTCCTCTCCCAGGGGAGTATGCTGAGGGGGTCAGTGAGCGAGATATCCTGCTTATCCACTCCTGCCGCCAGTGGACAACAGTGACAGCCCACACGCTGGAGGAGGGCCACTATGTCATCGGGCCCAAGATTGACATCCCCCTGCAGTACCCAGGTATGTGCAGCCACGGACAGGTGGCATGCAGCCTGACTCGGGAGCTGCTGGTGACCCCGTGGCCCCCTTTCCCTGGCTGGCAGGGGTAGTTAGGGTTAGGGTTAGGGTCCGGGGTTTCTGGGAGGTGGCTTTCAGGTTTAAAGGCCTTTGATTCACATTTTATTTTAAAACACATTTTTAAGTAATGGTGAAAATGACTCTTACCCTCACATGGGTACAGATCGAATCTTACCTCTAGCTGTACCCCTTTTCATGCAGATCCCAAAGAGAATATTTCCTGGCAGGTTCTTCTCAATACTATGTTGTCAAACTTCAGAAAAGAAAAAGGGCTAGGGATGTTGGATGTTTCAGGGCTAGAGCACTTGCCGAGCATGTGCCAGGTCCTGGGTTCCATACCCAGCACCCCGCGCCCCCTCAAAAAGGAAAAACTTCGACGCCAAGGGACTCTCAGGCTGGTACATGGCTGCCTCTTTTACCTCTGATTCCCTTTCTCCCAGTTCTGGTGTTAAGCGCAGTTTTCATTGATGGGGTTTGTAAGTAAATGTTAGTGTTCTAGATTACTAAAGATTCTTCTAATGAGCTTTTATGTGTTATATATATGATATTGATATAAAAGATTTTGTTTCAAGAATATATCCTGCATATACCCTGGCATTTGGCAGATGATGCAGCAACCTGCCCAGGTCACACAGTGACTAAGGGCAGGACAAGGGCCAGATCCAGGGGTCCCAGCTGCTGGGCTTGAAATTCAGGGCTGTTGTCCCTTGCAAGGGAGGAGTAGGAGTCTGATGGCTCGGGCCACAGTGACTGCCGTCAACACTGGGCTGGCCACTGTCCTCTCCTCCTCATGGCTACCTTGTCCCTTTAACCCCAGAGGAGGCTGGGAAGCTAGCTATGTTCTGTGTTTGGGTTTTTGAGATGGGATCTCATTATGCCCAGGCTGGCCCTGAACTTACTAGTAGCCCAGTCTGGCCTAAAACTTGTTATCCTCCTGCCTCAGCTTCCCAGATTACAGGCGTGTGTCACCATGCCTGTCAGTTCTGTGGTGTTCACTGCTATCACTGCTGTGTGATACCCCCATCCCTGCCCAGCAAGGGCTGGGGATTTGTCCCTCACAGATGCACTGTCCCCCTTCGTTGGGCCTCCTCCACTGTCAACAGGACACAAGCTTTCCTCAGACTTTGCTCCCCAGCCCTCCAAGCCCCCTGCTATTTGGGATCTTCCTGACCTACACCTGCCCTTTGGGGATCTGCTCATGCTAGAAATGTCCCAGCCTGGCATCTGTTATCCCAGGTCTTCTTGGGATAGGAAAAAAAAAAAAAAAAAAGCAAAACTTGGGGAAAATCTTCACTGAAAAGGAAATGTGACTTTGGTTGTATCATTCAAACTGTAGGGAAGCAAGGCACAAAGTCTTGGAGAGAACTGTTCTTCCACTGTCTTCAGGTGGCTGTGTGCCTGTCCACCAGGGGCCAGCAGCGACAGCTGGCCTGCAGAGTGTGGTGTGTGGGGGAAGGGAGGGCAGTGGCCGCCGTTCTCCTGGAGGCCTGGAGTGCAGGCTCCAGCCCAGCGCTCCAATGAATTAATAATGGCCCTGGCCTGGCTGCTGGCTGGGAGAGGAAGCAGGGTGGAGCTGGGGTCGCTGCCGGGTGACCCAGGTTTCCAGGCTGCGGCCTGCCTCTGTGGGAGCCAGGGAGACCTGGCCCATCTGGGGCAGTCCCGGACGGTGCTGGAGAAGGGGCCAGGGGCCAGGTGTCTTCTCCAGGTGGGGCGCCAGTTCCAGAGCATTGGTCTTGTGCCGGCAGAGAACTCGGCAGGTGTGCCCGGGAGCCGGGTGGCGTGCCTGCATTTTACAGGTGGGAAACGGCACCTCAGAGAGATTCACTTGGCTGAGATCACCAGCAGGCTGGCGGCAGGGCTGCAATTCACTCAGGTTTACCTGACTTTGAAGCCTGTGCTGGCTGAGTTTAGGGGTGCACACCTCTAAGCCCAGAACTCTAGGAGGCTGAGGCAAGAGGATCACAAGTAAGAGTACAATCTGGCCAGGTAGTGATTTACTCTGACCCGTGTCAAAAAAGTAGAGGGTGTTGCAGGGCATGCAGTTTAGGGTGAAATCTCTGGGTTCCTTCCCCAGGAGCAATAAAATAGAACAAATAAAGCTTGTGCTTTTTGGTGTGTGTGGTGTTCTGGTCAGGATGGGGAAGACGGGAGAGTCCCGCAGGGAGGCACAGACCTAGAGGAAGGCAGGGGAGGAAGATGGGGGAGGAGAAGGCTTCCAGGGACTAGAGCATGGCCCCCCAGAGGCCTCCCTTCCTTCTTCCCCTCTGTAATGACCGGCACTGGGCTGCGCTGGATGCCATGGTTACATTGATCTCCCTGGCCACATCCTCAGGCTCCCGCCGAGTTGGCTCACATCTCACCGCGGGGGACAGTGGCCTTTCTCCCTGTATGGCCACTGGTGGTTTGGGGGCTGTGTGTGGATACAGGAAAGAGGGCTGTGTACAGTCTAGGTGCACACAGACCTCTTGCTTTCTACTTCCCCCATTTTGTCCCTGTGAAACTTAGGGAAAGTCTTTCAGGGCTGCAGCACAGGAAGCCGTTTGCATCCAGGGAGGACCAGGCTTCCCCTCTGTGTGGCCGTGTTCTTGGTGCTCGTTGCTCTCCCTGCTCCCTGGATACTTCCTGCCCGCCCTGGCCCTCTGCTCTTCACATCTGTCCCCAGGCGGCTTAGTCTGGGTCTCTGGCTGGGATTTGGGGGCCCCAGAACACCCCTCTCTGCACTGTGTACAAATGGTTGTGTGTATGTGTGGGGTGCGTGCGCTAGGAGCAGAGTGGGGTTTTCCTGGGGTGTGGGTGCCCCAAGGGTTAGACCCCCCAGCTCTCTCTCTTCGCTGCCCCAAGCTGCCACACACGGCTGTTGCTCTGAGCAGAGGTCACCAAGCTCTGGGCCAACACTGGTGGCACTGCCTGCAGAACACCGCCTGTTAGGTCCCTGCCTGGGCCCCCCAGGATCTGTCCTGTCCTAGCTCTTCCATCTCCCTTCTTAGCAGAGACGAGTCATTCCCTCACCCCTCCCTTTGCCACCTGTCTTCTGCAGCCCCCGCCCCCCAAGTTGGAGGAGCCTCCCTTCCAAGTGTCTTGTGGTCTGTTCAGTTTTGCTATTCCCTGCCTCTTCTGTAGAACTCGGTACTGGACTGTGTACTTGACTGCTCTCCCAGGTGTCTTAGTAGAGTTCTTAATAGAACCTGGGTCATGGTATTTTCTTGCTCAAAACCCTCCAGTGGGTCTCGTTTATAGAATAAAGCGCTGCTGCTGTAGCGTGGCACTCAGGGCCTTCCCAAGCCTGGCTGCTGTCTGCTCCCCGTCCTGTCCTCCCTCCAGGCAAGACTTGGGCAGCTGACCGGCTGTGTCATTGCCCGGGTCATCTCTGCATGTGCACTGGCCATTCTGTAACATCTCTTTCCTTCACAAGGTGCAGCTCAGGTGTGCCTCTCGCGGTCTGTGGGGCAGGTGTCCCTGGCCCTGTCATCCTCCAGCTCTTTTGTCCCGAGTCGTAGCACCTGTCACACACTGCCACCTTTGGGTACTCACGGTGGGCCCTCCCACCGAGTCTGCATTTCATGGGGTGCACACTGTTTTACAGAGTTGTGTCCATTTGACACATAGCCGGTGGGTACGGCATAAATTTGGGGGGAGCAAATGAGTGAACTGAAGCAAGAACGAAGAACTGCAGAAGGGAAAGGCCAGCTTGTTGTCGCTCCTTCCATTGTTCCCTCACCTGTCCAGGGCTCTTCCTACCATCCACCCCAGTGCCGGGCTGGCTTACAGCCTGTCTGCTCATGGGTGGGCACAGAAGAGGGGTGTGGCCGGCGGGGGAGTCAGTCTGTACAGGCGGGATTGAGTGCTGGACCAGGGCAGAAGCTGGGAACAGAGCTGGGGTCAGAGTGGTCTCCAAGGCCTGGGGTTGGGTCCTGGTTTTCCCAGGGCATCAGTGCAGATCAGCAACCCAGGGTGGTGCGCAGGAGGCCGGGCCCAATCTGTGCCAGCGTCTGCTGAGGAAGACCCAGAGAAGGGAGGGACTTGTCTAGGTCACAGCGAATCAGAGGGC